CCCTACACTGAAGTCTTCTAGTGATTTTTGTTGGCCTGGTGATTTTCTTATCCTGAGGTTTTCCCTTGAGCCGCACCAAGCTGCCATTTTGGTCTCTCAGTTTCCCTTGAGACCTAGGTCCAGTTTTCAAAACTGCTCCTTCGCTGAGGATCTGGAATTGAACATCTTCTCCAGATGCTTAAGATATATTGTCTGGGCAAGTCACATATTCCAAACAGATGTGACAACTGCTGCTCTTTCAAAGCACAGACTCAGAAGAAAAGGGAGATCACGCGGAGAACATTCTTTTTCAACAAGTCATTTGGATTAGGCCCTGTCAAGGACTCTGATCAAGCAGGCCTAGCTAAGCCAACCATGTGAGTTACCACACCTGCCCCTGATCCCTTGATACTATGGCTGATCCAGTTCTCTCTAACCAGACTGGCTGCTGAAAGCACCACTCACCCCGTTTTAACTCCCAATCTATGGTTACGATCCCTGCAATGACGTGGCCATAAATTGCTTATTATGGCATTGCAGTTGTTACTGCAAGAATCTTGGGTGCAAGGCTCTGACCTGCCTAAAGATGATGCTTTGCCATTCCAGAGAGGGGAGCTATTTATCATAGAATCATAGAAAATCAGGAATGGAAGGGACTTCTGGAGGTCATCAGGTCCAACCCCCTGCTCAAAGCAGAATAATCCCCAATTAGGCCATCCCGTCCAAGGCTTTGTCTAGCTGGGTCTTAAAGACCTCCAAGGATGGAGATTCCACAACCTCTCTGGATAACCTGTTCCAGTGTTTTACTACTCTCCTGGGTGATGAAGCTTTCCCTAATATCTAACTTAAACTTCCCTTGCTGCAACAAGGACCATTGCTCCTTGTTCTGTCACCTGCCCCCACTGTAAATGGTCTAGCTCCATCCTCTTTGGAACCTTCTTTCAGGTAACTGAAGGCTGCTATTAAACCCCCCTGAAGGCTGCTATTAAATCCCCCTGCTATTAAATCCCCCTTCTCTTCTCCAGACTAAATAAGCCCAGGTCCCCTAGCCTCTCCGCATAAGTCATGTGCCCCAGCCCCTGAACCATTTGAGCGACTGTTACTCTCCACTGGACTCATTTGTCCGCATCCTTTCTGTAGTGGGGGCCCCAGAACTGCACACAGTACTCCAGATGTTCCCTCACCACTGCTGAATAGAGGGGAATAATTACTTCCCTTGATCTGTTGGCAACACTCCAACCAACGCAGCCCAGTATGCCATCAGCCTTCCTGGCAACAAGGGTGCACTGTTGGCTCATATTCAGCTTAATGTCCACTGTAATTCCTAGGTCCTTTTCTCCAGAGCTGCTGTGCAGCCAGTTAGCCCCCAGCCTGTACCAATGCATAGGAATTGCTCTGTCCTAAGTGCAGGACTTTGCACTTGTCCTTACTGAACCTCATGAGATTTGTTTTGGTCCAATCCTCCAATTTGTCTGGGTCTCTAAATCCTTACCCTACCCTCCAGCATACCTACTACTCCCCACTGGCTTGGTGTCATCTGCAAACTTGCTGAGGGCACACTCTATGCCATCTTCCAGGTCACTGATGAAGATATTGAACAAACCCAGTCCCAGGACAGACCCCTGGGGCACTCCACTTGATACCGGCTGCCAACTAGACATCCAGCCATTGACTACTACCCTCTGAGCCTGATGATCCATCCAGTTTTCTATCCACCTTACAGTCCATTCATAAAACCCATACTTAGCTTGCAAGTGAGAATCTTGTGGGAGACTATATCAAAATCCTTGCTAAAATCAAGGTATATTCACATCCACTGGTCTCCCTGCATCCACAGAGTCAGTCATCAGAGGCCAATCAAGTTGGTCAGGCTGACTTCCTAATCACCTTCTTCTCCAAGTGCTACGAAATGGATTCCTTGAGGATCTGCTCCATGATTTTTCCAGAGACTGAGGTGAGGCTGACTGGTCTGTAGTTTCCTGGATCCTCCTTTCTGCCCTTTTCCAATTGCCCCGGACCTCTCCCAATTGCCACAAATTTTCAAAGATGATGCCCAGTGGCTCTACAATCACATTGGTCAACTCCCTCAGCATCCCAGCCAGCCCCATGGACTTGTATTATGTCCAGCTTTTCAAAGTAGTCCCTAACCTATTCTTTCACCACAGTTGGCTGCTCACCTCCTCCCCAAACTGTACTGCCAGGTGCAATAGTCTGGGAGCTGACCTTGCCTGAAGCGAAAAAGACACTAAGTCCTTCAGCCTTTTCTGCATCCTCAGTCACAAGGTTGCCTCCCCCATTCAATAAGAGACACATGCTTTCCATAATCCTCCTGTTATTGACATACTTATAGAAACCCTTCTTGTTCCCCTTCATGTCCCTTACTAGCTGCAACTCCAGTTGTGCTTTGGCCTTCCTGACTTCATCCCTGCATGCCCTAGCAACACTCTTATACTCCTCCCTAGTTGTTTGTTTCCACTTTATAAGCTTCATTTTTGTGATTTAGCTTACTGAAGAATTCCCTGTTAAGTTAAGCTGGTTTTCTGCCATACTTACTAGTGTTAATGCACATCAGGATGCTTTGTTTCTGCACTCTCCGTCAAGTTTCTTTGAAGTACAGCCAGCTCTCCTGGACTCCTCTCCCCTTCAGACTGGCTTCCCAGGGGATCCTGCCCATCAGTTTCCTAAGTGAGTCAATGTCAGCTTTTCAGAAGTCCAGGGTCCATACTCTGCTACTCTCCTTCCTTCCTTCCCTCAGGATCCTGATCTCTATCATCGTGTGGTCACTGCTGCCCAAGTTGCCATCTACTATTACATTCCCCACCAATTCTTCCCTGTTTGTGAGCAATAGGATAAGAAGAGCGTGGCCCCTCGTTGGTCACTCCAGCACTTGCACCAGGAAGTTGTCCCCAACACTCTCCAAACGCTTCCTGGATTGCCTGTGCACTGTTGTATTGCCCTCCCAGCAGATGTCAGGGTAATTGAAGTCCTGCATAAGAACCAGGGCTGTGATTGGGAAACGTCTGCAAGCTGTTTGAAGAAACCCTCATCCACCACTTCCTCCTGTTCTGGTGGTCTACAGCAGACACCCACCATGGCATCACCCTTGCTGCTCACCCCTCTGACCCTAACCCAGAGACTTTCAACAGGCCTATCTCCAACTTCATACTGGAGCTCTGAGCAATCATACAGCTCTTTTACATACAGTGCAACTCTTCCTCCTCTTCTCCCCTGCCTATCCTTCCTGAACAGCTTGTGCCCATCCATGACAGTGCTCCAGTCACACGAGCTCCCAAGCCTCTGTTATTCCCATCACATAGTTTCATAGTAGGTAGGGTTGGAAGGGACCTGAGCAGATCATCAATCCTGCCCTGGGCAGGAAAGAATACTGGGGTCAAACGACCCCGGCAAGATGATTATCTAGCCTCCTTTTGAAGACCCCCAGGGTAGGAGCAAGCACCACTTCCCTTGGAAGTTGGTTTCAGGGTTGCCACCCTGATTGTGAAGTAGCACCTCCTGATATCTAGCCTGAATCTACTCTCGGTCAACTTATGGCCGTTATTCCTCGTTACTCCTGGTAGTGCTCGGAGGAACAGGGACTCTCCCATTGCCTGCTGGTCCCCCTTGGCCAGTTTGCCACCAGATCCCCTCTGAGCCACCAGATCCCCTCTGAGCCTTGTGGAGGCTGAACAGATTCAGGTCCCGTAGCCTCTGCTCATAGGGCCTGCCTTGTTGCCCCCTGATCATGCAAGTGGCCCTCTGGACCCTCTCAGTGCTGTCCACATCCCTCCTGAAGTGCGGTGCCCAGAACTGGACACAGTACTCTAACTGTGGCCTGACCAGTGCCGCATAGAGGGGGAGGATCACCTCCTTGGACCTGCTCAAGATGTATCTGTAGATGCATGACAAGGTGCAGTTAGCCTTCCTGACTGCATCCCCACACTGGTGGCCCATGTTCATCTTGGAATCAATAATGACTCCAAGATCCTTTTCTGCCTCTGTGCTGACGAGAAGGGAGTTCCCCAGCCTGTAGGTATGCTGCTGGTTCTTCCTCCCTAGGTGTAGTACCTTGCACTTGTCAGTATTGAAACCCATCCTGTTCTCATCCGCCCACCCTTGTAACCTGTCTAGATCTAGTTGCAGCCTGCCCCTCTCCTCCAGTGTGCCCACATCTTAGTGTCATCTGTGAATTTGAACAGGGTGCTTTTCACCCCCTCATCCAAGTCACTGATGAAGATGTTGAACAGTGCAGGCCCGAAGACCGAGCTCTGGGGGACCTCACTGCCCACATCCCTCCAGGTTGAAAAAGATCCATCCACCACCACTCTCTGGGTGCAGCCCTCCAGCCAATTTGCCACCCATCTGACTGTGTAGGCATCGATGCCACAGTTGCCTAATTTCTTAATGAGAATGGGGTGAGAGACAGTGTTGAAGGCCTTCCTAAAGTCCAGAAAGACTAAGTCCACCACGACACCTGCATCCAAGGATTTTGTGACCTGGTCATAGAAGGCAGGTCAGGTCCTGCTGATCTGAACATGTCTAGTCCCACCAGAAGTTCCCTGACTAGGTCCTCACTGACCCTGGGCCTGGCAGCACCTCCCCTGGGTCTGTCAGGGATTCTCAAGAACTAATGAGTAGGGGCCTACCATATTTGCGATTGTGCAATTTTCGTGGAAACTGCAAATTTGGGAGGGCTCCACAAAAAATGGCAGGCTCCAATAAAAGAGGGCCCCACAAAAAATGGTGGGCCAGTTGCAAAAAAACACATACAACCATGCTCCCCAACCCCTCAAAATAAAAACCTTACTGAAAATATAATGGGAAGCCAGCAGTCTTCATGGTGCTGTGGCTTGGCCATGCAGCCCGGCAGGGGAGGAATGGGGGATGGGGGCCGCTGGTATGAAGGGCTGCCAGCAAGATGGCTACCACCCTTCCCCCTCTCATCTGATTGCCTGAGAGGGAACGCCTGTTGTGTGGCCCTACCCACAACACCAGTCAGTGATGAGGAGCAGGGCTGCATCTAGCCAGCCCTCACAGCCAATCAGTAGCAAGGGGCAGGGCCACCGGGGTCCCTTGGCCAGAGGCACTGGAGGGACCTGCCCTGCTCAGCCTGTGAAAAATGTGGCCAGCCTCAAGTTAAGTAGACCCCTACTAATGAGACCCTCTATTTATTGATAAATTCAAGGGTGACCCTCCAGTCTCTAGGGCCTATTTCACCATCTCTGAGACAGCTGGTGGTGACTCTCCTCAGTATCTCCTACACTCTCTGGTGCCTCCTCAGGCCTGTTCCGATTGGCCGACCTCCTCCTCATCCTTCTCTCACAAGAGGCAGCATTTCAAAGGCAAAAATCACACAAAGAACGGGAGCCACATTTGGTTTAGTCTTTATACCCCTTGTGAGTACACCTATTGGGTTGGTGGCAAAATGCTCCCTTTCCCCCATCCACAAGAATGGTATTTCTGGTGCCTGTTACCTCAGTGAGGTAATGATAATGTCTGAAACCTCACAGCAGATCCTCCATATGCCACTTTTTATTCCAATAAAATGGCCTTCAGAACTCATTCAATTTCTTGCCTGGGGCTGCCAAAGTTAAACTGCTCCCTGAAATTCCTGCCAACTTCACCAGAGACAAGGCTACTTCCATAGTGACCCTTTGGACTGCCCTCATGCACCAAGCTCCAGCTGGTCACCTCACAGCAACCTTCACTGAGCATTATGCTATGGTGGAGGCCTCTTGAGAAGATGCATAGTTAGTGAAACAGTTCTTCAATCACTGTTCAATTCAGCCAGGGACTCTAGGATCCAACTCTAGCTACGTGATGGGGTTCAGGTTTGGAGTCATCCACAAGTGAGAATGTGTATGTGGACAACAACTTAAAGGAGAAAAGGAAGCTACTTACCAGCAGCTGGAGTTCTTAGAGATGTGTTCTCCAGTAAATTCCTTTTTTTCAAAAAAAAAAAAAAAAAAAAAAATTCAATTTTGGAAATTAAAAACCCCTTACATTTTGAAAAATCTCACAATGGAAATTGGCTGACAAAAAAGGTGGGCAAAGAAAAGACAAAATAAAACAAAGGATTTTAGAAAGTTTTCAATAAATGGGAATTGAGAATATTTTTTGAGTTGCTGGACAGCCTGTGAGCTTTGCTCACTACACCCATAGTGGAGATCAGCAGGGATGATCAACACAGGAAGGAAGAAACAGGTCAAAAGATGAGACACATCTTGGGCTCTTTTCCTTTTAATATTTTGAATCACTCAAGACTTTTGTGTATTTAGTCCAAGGTATGACTCTTTTCCCCAAATCAGAAGCCCCTCCTCACACACCCTCCAAGTAGTAACACATTTCATGAACACCCAGGATCCATTACCTTGCGCACTCTGCTGTCATTGAATTCATACCAGCTATTGTTTTCAAAGGACTTTATCTCAGCCAGGTAATGGCCACCATGAATTCCTCCAGAATGGTGACACATGGCATAGAGGTGATAGTATACAACCTAGGAGGAAATCATGTTAAAGTTCAGATTAACCATCTATTTAGCTGTACTACAAAGACTCTCAGACAGAAGGCATTGCAGGGTGGCACCTTACAGACTCACTGGGCATGTCTACACATGCATTTACTGAGCAGTAACTTATGGCGCAGTAAGAGGTTTTAAGGCCAGCATCTAAGAGGTTTCAAAGCCAGGCCCCAGCTCTGGTGCAAGACGCATGGGTTTAAACCCATTGTCCCACCGTGAGCTTGGGCCACAGCAGATCCCCGGCAGACCCCTGATTGGACCCCAGCATGAGCTGGGAGGTAAGTGCGGGGCTGCAGTGGGTGGGCATTAGGCAATGGGGCAGCTGAGCGGAGCTGAGGAGGGTCATCCCCCACGGCTCCTACTTAGCCTAGTCCCTAGGGAGCAGTAGGGGAAGAGGGGGGCACTTACCTGCCCCCTTCTCCAGTGGGACAGGCATTCCCTGTCCCGGAGAACAGTGCGTTGCCAACAGGTGTACTGCACATGCGTGGCTTTTAAAAAGCTGCACCAACAAAAAAAAAGCCTCAGTAGGGTCCCAGCTCTGGTGCAAGATGCACGGGTGTAAACCCATCACACCCCCATGAGCTTGGGCCTCGACACACTCTTGGCAGACCCCTAACCAGACCCCAGCATGAGCCAGGAGGTAAGTGGGGCCTGCAGTGGGTGGGCATTAGGCAGTGGGGCAGCTGAGCGGAGCCAAGGAGAGTCACCCCGCCATGGCTCCTATTGAGCCCAGCCCCAGTAGGGGAAGGGGGGGCAGCATGAACTTTCTCTGTCCAATGCAAAGCAGTCAAATGTCTCAGTAAAACAGAAATCCTTAACTTTGGGAAGGCTGACTTTCAGAAACTCAGGAGACTGGTCAGCCAGGCACTAAGAGACCATGGCCCCTTAGTAAGGAGACTCCATGAGGAATGGTTGTTCCTTAAGAGCGCAATCCTCGAAGCACAAGGAAAGTCCATTCCGTCCCACAGGAAATGCAGTCAGTGGGCTGGGGAGCTCCTTTGCTCAACAGAGAACTTTTGGACCTCCTGAAACTAAAAAGAGAAGCCTACACCAGATGGAAAATGGGAGTCATTACCAAGGAGGACTACTCAGCACTAGCCTGCACTTGTAGAGAACAGACCAGAAAAGCCAAGGCAGGAACCAAACTCAGGCTAGCCATAGGAATCAAGGACAACAAAAAGTCCTCTTCAGATATGTGGGAAGTCAGTGGAAAAACAACAGAAACATTGGACCTTTGCTAAATCAAATGGGGCAGCTGATGCCTGACGCTCAGGAAAAGGCCAATCTCCTAAACGATTACTTTGCGTCGGTTTTCCACCCATCCCAAGGGTTCACCCTGTCAAAACATCCAGGGGGCTGGAGATGGGCTCACAATTGACATAGATCAAGTAAAGGAACACCTCGAGAGGCTTGACATCCACAAGTCCACATGCCTGGACAGAATGCACCTGAGAGCCTTGAAGGAGCTGGCAGACATCATAGCACGCCTATGACGAAGATATTTGAGAACTCCTGACGTTCAGGAGTGGTACCGGAGGACTAGAAAAGAGTCAACATGGTCCCAATCTTCAAGAAAGGAAGGAGGGAAGACCCAGGGAATTACAGGTCAATCAGTCTGACATCCATCCCTGAAAAGATCCTGGAGAAGATTATCATGGGTTCCATCAGTAGCAGGCTAAAGGAAGGCAACTTTCTGAGTGCCAGCCAACATGGCTTTGTTGCGGAAGATCCTGCCTGACCAACCTCATCTCCTTCTATGACCAGGTGACGCATTGCCTGGACAAAGGAGACAAGATTGATGTCATATATCTGGATTTCAAGAAGGCCTTTGACTTGGTCTCCCATGATGTCCTCATGGCTAAGCTGGACAACGGTGGCCTTTACCATTTCATGGTCCAATGGCTGGGGAACTGACTCTGGGGTCAGACCCAAAGAGTATTAATTAATGGGAGTGAATCAACTTGGCACAAGGTGAACAGTGGTGTCCCTCAGGGCTCAGTGCTCAGGCCAGTACTCTTCAACATCTTCATAAATATCTAGATTTGAGCATCAGATACAGACTGGCAAAGTTCACGGATGGCACTAACCTACGGGGGAAGGCAGTCACACTGGAAGATAGGCTGGGGATACAGGCTGACCTAGACAGGCTCACATAGTTTTGGCTCGCATGCCAAAAACTAATGGCATTTAACACAGAGAAGTGCAGGGCCTTGGGAGGAAGAACCAGCATCATACTTATAGGCTCGGCAGCACCATGACAGAAAGAGACTTGGGGCTCTTGATTGGCCCCAAGATGAACATAAGCCACCAATGCGATGCTATAGCTGGCAAAGCAAACCAAACTCTGGCATACATCCACCAATGCATCTCTAGCACAGTAACGCTGTGTGTGGATTGACTTGGGAGTAAAGCTAGTCCGAAGTCAGTCCCCATACACAGTGTTATGGCACAGTAATGCATCTACATGTGCCTTACTGCGCAGTTACTAAGCCATTATAAATTTGCTATCTGCATCATGCATGTGTAGACATGTGCCTGTACTGTGCAGTAATTTTTGGTGAGTGAACAGTAACCTAAATCACGGCGCAGCGACTGTGCATGTGTTGACGCACCCACTCAGTCACAGAGGCAAAAGCTTTTGTAGGTGACAGCCTACTTGGTCACATCTTCAGGTCAGATATACAGGGTTAACCGCAAAGACACTTAGGTAGCCAGCATTTCCCTCCCTTCACTTGTAAATGTTTTCAACAAACTACACAAATTATAGAAATAAAAACTGACTTCCTTTATAAAAACCAGAAAGATTTTACTGTATCAGTGTCAACAGATTATAAAGAAGACTGACATCTGGTTTTGTATGCTTATGACTGCAGAAATGTGCACAGTGTAAACAACTATTTTGTACCCTTATGCAGCACTGGAGTTTATGAGTTTGTTTCAGTAAGGTACTACTCGGTAGGGCTGTGCGAAATTTTGCCAGCAGTTTCATTTCAATACTGTTTTGACTTGTTTCAAGCTTGAAACAGTGAAATCAAAATGAAACAGAGAGCTTCGAAACAGCCCTGAAACGAAATGAAGCAAATCGAAACATTTTGAAATGTTTTAAAGTTTTTGAGTTTCGACGCTCGAGCTGGGCTTGCCTGCAGAGAAACAGAAACTTAAGGAAAGGGAGGAGAAAGAGGGGGAAGGGGGGAAGGAGTGCTCTCATTATTGACTGTGTAGCTGGCCAGCGACTGTCATCCTTCCCTGAGGTCCCTTCCAATCCCAGTGCTCTCGGGGAGGGATGGAAAAACTGCATAAAAGGCAGCATTGTTTGAACATCCCTGCTTTCTGCCTTGGTGTTAGTTACTGACCGGTGTGTTCCAGTTTTGCCTGTCAGCAGCCAGAGATGCAGGGCCCCAGAACCCAGAACCCCTGCACCTATCTCCTTGACAGCTGGCAGGCTTCATGGCCTCAGCAGGGGCTAGCAGGCCTGCAGCTTTCACCCTGCTGCGCCTTAACACACACAGTGTCACCCATGTCACAAGTTTTGCTTGTCCACAGCTTGAGGTGCAGTATCCCCAAAACCCCTGCACCTATCTCCTTGAAACTTGGCAGGCTTTGTGGCCTCAGCAGGGGCTACCATCCCTGCAGTTTTGACCCCACTGTGGCTTAACACATGCACATGACATGAGTTTTGCTTTCAAGACTTTGAGGTGCAGTTTCCCCTGTACCTATCTCCTTGAAACTTGGCAGGTTTTATGCCCTGAGAAGGGGCTACCAAGTTTAATCCAAATCAGGCCAGAGATGACAAAGTTATAGGCTGTTTCAAGCTTCCCCATTACAGCCTATGGGCGAAACATCAAAACAGCGTCGAAACAGAGAAACTGTTTCGATGAAACGAAATGGAACAGCAGTTCGAACTGAAACAAAATTTGAAACGAAATGCTGTTCCGTCAAAATGCAAGTCGAAACGGAATGGTGCCATTTCTCACAGCCCTACTACTCAGTGCACTGGGAATGGTCAAACCCTACTAGGGTTAGTTCACAAGAGTGTTCACCATCTGACCCTGACACCATGCTGAGGGAGGGCAGCAACCAGTTCAAGCAAGTTTTGGTTATGAACTCATCTCTCCAAAGGGAGCTCCAGCAGGGCTCAGTGGATTTTCCCAAAGGACAAATTCCTTCCTGCCACTTCATGAAATATCCAAACTCACAGGCTCAGCCCAGCAGGTTCAAGGGTTCAACACAAGAGTTTTGTGCCATGGTAGACTGGCCTGTATGAGACCAGGATAACTGAGTGGTTCTTATTTTTAGCTTTATTAGGTAAACAAAGTACAGACAGAAAAGCAGTTCCCTGTCTAAATTATGGTGCTTTACAGGAATTGCCATGAGTTAGACCGATCCTCCCGACCAATAGACCTTAGCTGTTGGGTCAGGAGGGTGGGAGATTGGGTTCCAATTTGGAGCCCATCCAGGGAGGCTGCATCTTTGCAGCCTCTTCCCCTGGCTCCACCCCTCTCTCCCAACTCTGGTGCTGCCTCAGAATGGGAGGGGGAGAAAGCAGAAGAAGGTCAATTCTGGGGTTTCCCCACCCTGCACTGGGGTGGGGAGGTGAGTGGATTGGAGCCTGCAACCTCAGGGGAGCCACCCCACCCACCCCACCCTCCTGCGCCAGCTGGGCAAGCCCCAGAATGAGCTCCCTCTGTTCCCTTTCCTCCCTCCCATTCTGAAAACAGTGCCAGGAGCAGTACCGGGCTGTGTCACCCGAACCCTGCTCCCAGCAAGTGCAGGCAGAAGTTACTGAGGGCGTTCCATTTTGGAGTGCCTTCATCTGAACCCAAAAGTAATAAGGATTCAGATTTTGGTGGGATTGGGCCCTTTTAAAGTGCTCTGCAGTCAGATCACATCTGTGTTTGGTCACAGCTATAGAGCACTTTCAGGGGCCACATAAGGTGAAAAATGTCACTCTTCTCTGTGCCTACAGAGAATGAACTCCCTGGTGAGTCCAGCGGAAAGTCCATGTACTTACCGTGTGGTCTTCCTTGCTCATATTGAGTAAGAGTGGCACAGACACTTCACAACTCAGCTTTGTAAACCCAGTAAAAGAATCAAACTGATATCTCTTCAAGTGCAGAACCAGAATCTGGGGTAGACTTCCAAAGCAGTATTTCTGAAAAACAAGACAAGCCCCACATTTCATACCATGTGGTCATCTCATCCACTCTAAAAATGCCCTTTTGTAGGTACACCAGTCAAATAAAAAAAGATATGTTTGCAAAAACCGTTTTCCTCTTTTTGCATGTGTGTCTTTCAAGATTTAGCACCTCTGGGCATCACTGTACCCAGTACAACTATTTGAACAAGCCATGCTTACCGATGTGGCATCTTGTTTGCACCTACACTTTTCACAATATAACTGGTCATCTCCTGTAAAGGTGTTTTCTTGCTGTATCTCATCCAAAGCGCTGGCCTAGACACAGGCAGAAATGACAGCATTATGTAGCATTAGTATAACTGAAGGACAGAGAAATTAATGGCCTGCCTCCTTCCAACAACACAGTCTTAAGGTAAGTAGATCAAAATGCTGACTTTTCCCTCATGTGAAGTACATCTACTTTGATACCAAATGAGCTTTTCCACACCAAAAAGCTTTAAGCTCATTTGTAAGTCTTTTTCTTGACAAAGTTTCCTCAATAAATTTGCTTTGTGTACTCACAGCTTAGCACCTGATTAACTTGCTTTGACTAGAAAGGGACTTAAGCTTATGTTTTTCCCTGCATAGATTGTTTCTAGCCCAGAGGAACAACAACGCCCTCCCCTGTGGCAAGAAGACCTCATGCAGTTTGTTTCAATGATGGTAATCAACTTTCTTTGAAGACATTTTAGTTCATCAAAATAACAGAGCAGATTTCAATAACCCTTGTTTAAGAAAATTCCTCACAGATGCTTAAGGAGCTCAAGAGAACTGTGAAGTTTTGCTTCAATTCTGGAAAAATTAGTAGGCATATTTAAGGATGTCTTCAAGTCAATGGGACAGCTTACATGAATAAAGCTCAGCAGATGTCAAGTCTTTGCTGGGTAAGAACCTTTACCCCTTGTCTTATGCACAGCAGTGGACAGGGGATGAAAATGCTTCTGAGTACGACTGATGTTCAGATCACCAAAGTTATGGCACAATTGAATTCACAGAGGCTGCAGCATTCATCCTGCACTGAAGCATCCAACTGTATTTGTAAGCCAGGGCTTGGACAAGCATTTTAAAAAAACAACTGTGTTTTAAACCTCTACACCAGTGTAAGAGCCTTTGATCTGGTGCAGTAAAGCTGCTCTGGATTTCTGCTACCTAATGTCAAGGAGCCTCATCTAACAAACTGGCCACCAGTCCATTCTGGATCCCAGTGTGATGTTCATCAGTGTATGGAACAAATAGAAATTACACACTGGGTAGCTGCTTCCTGTGCCTGGGCACTCAAACAACTCTGTAATACCTTCAACAAATGTGTATGAAATATATGAACTGTTTAAACTAGAAATATATGAACTGTTTATTCTAGAAACTGATCTGTTCATAAAGCAAAAGAAAACTGTCACAAGACTGAAAAGCTCAATATGTCCCAAAACCAACAAGGTTCTGGATTAATTTGCATGTAACTAATATCCACTGGATTCCTCAGTATGTCTGAAAGACCAAAAATGAACACATGGCACCCATCATTCCTAACAAATGTAGGGATATTTTCCTTACCACAGAGTAACCTGCGTGATTAGAAGCCAAGTTTTTAAAAGAGAGGGAAAGACTCAGGACAGGATTCTCCACTTTTGTCTGGAGTCTGCATTCACAACAAGTGATGGTATGGACCTTTTTCACCTCGTATAGCTAAGAAAAGATAGACAATGATAAGCATTTCCAAAAATCCAGTGTGTTAAAACTACAGGGAAAGTGCAAACATATCTTAGCTGGAGGAATGGAAGACATGTGTTGTGTACCTTCCCAGTCTCACTCAACACTGTTTCTAATGTTTACTGCCTGTCAGAGCAGAGGCGGCTCAAAAATCACTACAACTGAGAAATTAAATAAATCTAAATCTTAAGAAATTACACTAAAAACCTATATTAAAGGAAGGGGAAGGGGACAAAAATCAACCCCCAACGTTAAGAAATGAATCAAGGTTTCCTGCTCAACTTTACTTCAATCCCACATTCATTTGCATGACAACACAGACTGCTTACCCAATCACATCCAATATTTACCAAGGACCTTGGCCTTACTCAGTGCACAGGGGTGGTTATTAATATAAGCTTAACATTCACTTGGCCTTTGAGTAAGCATATCAACTGGATGCCTAAAGCTCCTCCTAAAGTTCCCCCTGGACTGTAGGCACACATGCATTTGGAGCCCTTTGAAAAGGAAAATGGGACAGCAGCTGGTATTTTCTATCTGTTGTGTGTGAAGGAGCTGAAAATGATTCTAAGGTATCAAACCCTTCCCAACTTTAACATTTCTTCATCCAGGGTTATAGCTGCAGCCGTTTTGCTACTTTTGACTTGCTCGCCCCTCATTCACACATAACAATAAGAACAGCTGCTCCCCAGTTGCAACGTTCCCTTTGTCCAAGGGCTCCAAATGTAGCGTGTCCATGCCCACTGGGTCAGATCCACTCGCAGGTCCCAGTGGGAGGTAAACAGGCTGAATCATCCCTAAGGAAGAGACCCCATGCACACCAGACAGCAGAAAGCTGTCTAAGAAGCAGACTGCTTTGCTATGCCTCTGGTCAGCCCGAAACTCCTAAACCTGACTCCGTGCTCTGAACCTCTGGCTTGGCTCCTCCAGCCTGTTCCTGCTTCTTCCTGTTCCTGTCTTGGACCTCCTGGCTTGAATCAACTGCATGTCCTGACCATGACCTCATCTTGACCCTCAGCTTTGATCCTGGCTTCCACTCTGATAAATCCTGACCTCGACTGATCAACTAGAACTGACTGCCTACATCCTGCTGCACCCTTACAGATGCTTTGGAAATGGTCCCCCTTGTACAAACTGGCACTGATGGAAAAGCAGTGGCCACAGCAGCAGCAAGTAGGATTGAGGCTCCCAGGGTGCAGAATGAGCAGAGCTGCTTAGAGATGAAGCTTTGCCTCTCCGCACATCCCTCTCCTACCCCAAGCTCCTAAGATGGCTCCTTGGATTGGTCTTGCTAAATGTGTAAATACACATGGCTTGCTCCAAGTATGAATAAGAACTATGTGGTAAATCACGGGGCAGGAAAGGACCTCAGGAGGTCTTCTAGTCCAGATCCTAGAACACGTAGGATCATCCCTGTCTAAATCATTGCAGCCAAGTATTTATTTAACTTGCTCTTAAAAACTTCCAGTGATAGAGATCTTATAGGCTCTCAAAAGTCATCTGCACCAATGTTTAACATTCTCTGAGTTAGAAAATTCATCTTAAGTTCCAAACTAAATTTCCCTTCTTGTAATTTCAGACAGTTGTTCTTTTTCCTGTTCCCTGTGACAGAAAGAACAGTGTATCACAACAACCCTTATGTATCTGAAGGCTCATGAGGTCCTCACCAGCCTTCTCTATTCCAGACTAAACAATCCTAATCTTTCTTTGTACATCATGTTTCCTAGTCCACTAAAAATTTTGAGTCATCTCCACTGCATTCTTTCAACTCTGTCTGCACCTTTCTTGAAGTGCAATATCCAGAACTGGACACACTACTTCAGGTGAGGCCTCCTCAAGATGAATCCCATCCACTGCTCTCCTCATCTATGAAGTCTGTCAGCTTGTCAAAAAACGGAAAATGGGTTGGACAGGTATAACTTGCTCTTGAAAAATCCATGTGGGCTGTTTCTGATTCTCTTATTATCCTCTAGATCAAGGCTATACAACTTTGATGTGGCTAGGAGTCATAAGTGATGCAGGCATGTAGGCCACATGCTGCAAGGGCAGCCTCACCCTGCCATGTGGGCTATGCCAGCAGTCCTCCCTAAAATTGTTCACAGCTGGTCACTAAACACGTTTCTCATTTTCTGGCTGCCCAACAGGTCAGATTTGCAGAAGCACTGAACTCAAATGTTGCTGTGTTTTAAACACAAAGTACCATTAAAATGCTGAAAAAAATAGGCCTCAGTTGTCTTAAGTTGGGCACCCACGATCAATAATAGATACTTGATTTTGGCCTTACTCTTTACACTTCAACTCCTTGGCTGTAAAGGGTTCTGATGTCATCACCCACTCTTTAGGGGTGTTTAGGAAAAAGAAGTGTTTGTGAAATGCTCAGAAAGCAGGGTGAGAACTGCAATTAGTAGCATATTCAAAACTTTTGTGTTCAGTGCAGAGTTTGCAAGGGATGTTTCAAATAAGGACAGAGGCCAGGATGAAAAGTATTGAACAACTACTAATTTGTTGAATAAGGCATGGATCTGTGGAGGAAAGTATGTGATTATATAACTAAAGATTGCGTCTTAAGTTGTACTGGCAACCTGAAACTAGCGTTGCATAACTTCTGGACATTTTGAATGCAACTGTCTGGAAGACCTCTTGTTTAGGTTTCCTGAAGGAAAAAATTACCTGGCGAATCTCTTCTTTCTCCTCAATTATTTTATCCATCAGGCGCCTGAAATATTCCTCAATGTCCTGCTGCTGGTGCACTGTGCAGACACAAATCGGAATAATCAACAACAAACTGCAAAAGTTGTTTGCTCTTAGGTGTAGTCTAAGGAGGACTGCTGGCCTGTGCGAACAGCTCACTGCCCCATTTCCATTTTTCACTTTCCCCCTGGGGCAGACTTTACATTAAAAGTTGACTATGGCAGAACCCACATGCAGAGATGCACAGCAAGAGAAGGTCATCCTAAAACCTGGTGGAGGGTTTCCTTAAAGCTTGAAGCAATAAGACCCTTCATTACTATTTAAAACATCTACAAAGTTAAAATGGCTTGCTCATTTCTTGATCGCTGGTCCACTTAACTTGAATGCATCATATCCCCAAGGAACAAACACCCCTAGTACACCTGCTAGGAGCCCATGCATAGCACAATGTCAAACTTGAGTAGTCATAGAATCATAGAAAATCAGGTTTGGAAGAGACCTCAGGAAGTCATCTAGTCCAACATCCTGCTCAAAGCAGGACCAGCCCCAACTAGATCGTTCTACCCAAGGCGTTGTCTAGCCAGGTCTTAAAAACCTCCAAGGACGGAGATTGCACAATCTCTCTCGGTAACCTGCTCCAGTGCTTTACCACCTTCCTAGTGAGAGAGTTTTTCCTAATATCTACCCTAAATTTCCCTTGCTGCAACAAAGACCATTGTTCCTTGTTTTGTCATCTGCCACCACTGAGAACGGTCTAGCTCCATCCTCTTTGAAACCACCCTACATGTAGTTAAAGGCTGCTATTAAATCCCCCTCAGTCTTCTCTTCTCCAGACTAAACAAGCCCATTCCCTCAGCTTCTCTGCATGGTCATGTGCTCCAGCCCTATTTTCATTGCCCTCCGCTGGACTTTTTCCAATTTGTACACAGCCTTGCTGTATTGGGGGGGCCCAAAACTGGACATGGTACTCCAGATGTGGCCTCACCAGTGCTGAATAGGAAAAAATCACTTCCCTGGATCTGCTGGCAACACTCTTACTAATGCAGGACAGTATGCCATTAGCCTGTCTGCTGGTGGCGCTGCACTTACCTCAAACCCCCTAGTAACACACACCAAGATACCCTATGGACTTTGATGCTGCAGAAACCTGAACTGCTCCACAATTCTTTCCCAGTGAATTATGAGAGAACGTGTGTGTTCTATTAATGTACAGTGAAAACATAGGGAGGTCCTTGAGGATTAGCAGCTTTAGAGTGATGTAACCTGAGTCATCTCTGCACAAAGGCAGATACCAGCAGACAGGAAAGTGAAACCTGGGTTCTACCTCACATCCTTAACCTGGGTGGGAAGTACCACAAAATATGTGCAACAGGTTTCTGGGTGTGACTGAAAAGGTCATTCAGCAGTAACAGTCCAGTAGGAGGCAGGGGCAGCTGAAAAGCGAAGCCACGCTGAACACCAAGCAAAATACAGCAACTCAAGATTTTCAAATGCATATTGTGTGAGGACCATTTAGGAAGAAGGAAGACGAGGAGGAGGGCTGGGGAAGTCATGAAGCGGAAGAGAATCAGCAAAGCCTTGTATATGCCTGAGAAACCCTCCTGCATTCATAGACGACTGCCATGGAGGAGAATGACGTGAACAGGGAACCAAAAGGGAGCTGGGGAAAAGCTCAGACCCACACTGAGGCCAATGAGGTCTTAGCAAAACTGAACCTCCTCCCCCTGGAAGTTCAGGTAAAGTTGCTTATGAAATACCAGCCTGCGAGGATGACCGAAGGTACACTACATTAGACAGGCATCCTACCATTGTGAATTCCAAGGCACTTAGTAATTCCTGTGGTGTTGAGCAAGGTGTTTCTATCCATCAGCTCTTGAAACAGCTTTATCAGGATGTGCACGATGCTGGTACCACTGTTACCACAGCTACAAAACACAATGAAGACACACTGTTCATCTGCACTTTCCAGACTTTGACCCAATGGGGCTTGCTGCCACAGTGGTTCTCAACCTTTTTTGTACCAGGACCCATTCGTAAACATCGATGGCCAGTCCTGACCCAGTGTCCCTCACTCCCAACTTGCCGTCCCCTGCCCCTATGCCTCAGCCCCAAAGTGTGTGGGGTGGCAGGGGCCTGTGAGGCATGGGGAGCCCCAGACAGCCCCTTGCAGGCTGGAACTCTGCCAGCCTGCAAGGGAAAAGCCAGTTTCCCACATTTTTCTCCTTTAAAAGGAGAATACATTTCTAAAAGTTTGTTCGTGACCCTTTCATATATTCTTGCAACCCACTTTTGGGTTGTGACCCACAGGTTGTAGCACAGTGTTTCTCAAGGATTCCAGGAGAGAGCTCTATGAGCTGCCTAAGTGGACTTAGGTGTGTACACGAGATTCTAATCTGCCCTTCTTTAGACCCTGAGAAACTGCTCATACAAAAGCAGGCTAGTTTTCCTCCTCTCTATTTCTTTTAGGGACTTAGCCTTGAAGTTATGTTGAAGGCAGGCTGCAGAATTAAATTCATTTGTCTATTTTCAGAGACTTGTATACAGTGGAGTAGCATTACACTCAGGCACTTAAGTCCACTCACAAGTCCAATACGTGGATTAGGATCTGGCCCCTGAGGTCTACTGGGGCCTGTGGTAGGTCTTGCTAGATGCACTCTAAGGAACCCCAAAGGCAGGAACAGACCAAATTCCCCTCTCATTGCAGGGTATGTCAGGGAAGGGCATCCCTCTGGCCATGGTTATGTGCATCAATAGACTGGGTAAAAGTGTGAAGGTTGATAGTTCTGGGTCTTGTTTGCTGCCCTATTCAGAGTGCAGCCTTACCCTTCCCCTGTTGCAAGCAGCTTTCTTGGAACTGGAGTTTTGACCCCAAGTTTCTGGAGTTTTGACCCCCATTTCTAGTCCAGCCAGCCACAAAACCTGCCGCAATCTTCTTCTGCTTTCTCTGCACCCCTAACCCTGCAGCCTCCTGTCTCCTTGTCCCCTCTTTCCCAAATCTACATAGCACTGCTCTGCCCACGACATCCTGATGGTTCAGTAGTACCAGAGACAGAAGGGTCTCACAGCATCAGAATCATGTAGTTATCCAGTATGCCCATATCAGGTGTGCTACAGCTGAAGCAAGCCCATGACACACTGGCAAACTCCCTACCTGCAGATGGCCTCTCTGAGCTCTGGGGTGAAGAACAGACACTGCAGCAGACTGTTGAAGTAGCAGGTGGAGCCCTGGTTACGCAGCCCCACATACACTCCTGCAAAATAGAGAAAAACCTGCAACCTGGGGGGGCTGGACACCTGAGAGCTCTGCCTGGGGCCCCCAGCTAGTTACAGCTCACCCTGCTCTTTGATAAATGCTGGTTTAAATCTTTGAAAGGGGGTCTGCACAGGGAAAATCTTTTGTGGTATTTCTGTGGCTTCTTCTTAATTGTATGAGGAAGGCCTGAGGAATAGGTCCTAGAGAGACAAACCTTTTGTTCCTTTTTTTTAGAAATGGAAACATTGGCTGACTGCAACAGAAGATGTTGTCATGGGTTATACAGGCACAGGTCCCATTGCAGCCCTGTCTTTTACAGATAGTGCTGGAGCAATTCAACAGAAAACATCTTCCTAAACTTTCTCTTCACTGACTGAGGGGGCCTCTGAACCATTAAAAAGGTGACAGCTCTGCCCACATAATTACTACTTCCAGTATCTAGGTCAGGTAAGATTTCTTTATAGAAACTCCTAAATGCCCAATAGACCAAATTCTGTTATTTTACATACTTGACAGTAGCTGCATCCTAACAACTCCCCATCTAAGACACAGATGTGATTTATGAACCTCTAGGATCTTGACAAAACTGCAGAAATACTCTTTAAAGGGATGGGAGACAGGAAGAATGGCAGCCTCCAATAATTCCCTGAATAGTGCATCTTTTATTGACACTGATATCCCAGAAATGGGTAGCTTACAGGACAGAAAGGATACAACATATGGCATTCTCCACAAAGATACCGTAGGCCTACAAGGCAAACCTTTGGGCTAGGGACAGACATTACACATAAACCAGTTTAAGTGATCAGAAACTGGTTTAAACCTGTAACAGAACAAAAGTTTGGTGCACATAAACGAGTTCCAAAATGGCGGAAACTGGTTTAAGATAAACCTGGTTCAATGTAGTATCAGACTTAACTGATTTGGGTCAAACCAGTTTATGCAATGTCTGTCCCGACCCCTTGCTGGTTTAAGTTAAACCAGACTCCCCCAGCATCCCAGCATGCTCTTTGGGCTGGGTGGGGCTCTCTACTCCACAGCAAAGCTGGCCCCACCCTACTGCTCCATGGCCAGAGCTCCTGCAGAGACTGCAGACAGAAGGGTCTGCCTGGCTTCCCCCTGCCCCACCCCCTCCCGCTGTCCAAGCAGGGATCCCCCCTCCCTCCCTCCCATCTCCCACAGCACGGAGCCCAGCCCCAGAGACCCTAGGCATATAGTATGCTAGCTAATGCTGTCTGTGTGTGTGTCTACAATTTAACTGGAACAGGTATACTGGAACAGGTATACAGGACAGTGTCCACTTAGTGTCCGCTTAGTGCTTTCTGGAGCTAATCAACAGGTCAGCTGGTAAGGTTCCTCCTTCCTTCCTTGGAAAAAAGCTGTTTTAGAAGAGCTTGAACTAATGAGAGAGGCTATTGTTTTGCTGCTGGGGTGATAAACACTGTCATCAGCCCCCTTCTGGCTTAGTCGTCTGTCCGTTTGCTGCAGACATTATAAAGTAGCAGGGAAAAGAGACTGAAAAGCTCCGTATCATCAGCACATGCACGCACTGCACACCCCCCCCTTGCCTCAGAGTGCTAGCTGGGGCCTGGGGGCTTGCAAGCCTGGGACAGTGCAGGTAGGCCTCTCTAATCAGAGCATCCTGCTATGCCCTCCTCAGCTCAGCACTCTAGAAGGGAAGGAAGGGCTGCTCTAGCGACCCCCAGCTTCTAGCCTGAGCCACTGCAGGCATGTGCTGGCATTTTTTCAGTCCAAAGGGGATATCTGAACCCTTACAAACCAGTTCAGCCTAGCCAGGTTAGACTAACCTGCAAAGATTGAATCAATTCAGGCTCAGGCTTTTTGAATGTCTGTCCCTAGCCTTGATTTTTAAAAATCCTTACTGAATGCTGTTATAAAACCTATCAGCCACAAAAACTATTCACCAGCAAAGTAGCGTGAGGATGACCTTAAAACATTGACTTCGCACATGCTAAACATTTAGAATTTAGTTTCTTTCTTGCAGTTCCTGTACTGCTACATTAGGAAACCCTAGACAAGAGAGCCCCATGGTCTCCCAATAATGCTCCAAGAGACAAGCCTACCATTCTATTCCAATTGCAGTGGTGTGAACGGAAGAGGTACAGGAGCTGGGGACCTGCTAGTGTTCCTTTTCTCTTCCCTGGCAGCCATGTGTAAAAAATGAGTGCTCATCACTTACCTGGCTTAATGTGGGAGGGCACCTCCAGATGCTTGGAGACAGACATTGCATCCCTACAACAGACATAAGAGAACTACTATTATTGCCTCATCAGAGGGATGTCCCCCTCATGGTGCTCTGCCTGCAGCTCAGTGTACGTGGTCAGTGACTTTATCATGCCATTAAGAATAACAGAGATTTCTGGTTTGGCTTCTGCTCCAAACAGGGACAGTGACAGGGCAGAGGCCTTTGGACTCTTACCCAAAAGCAACTTGGAATGCAAAGCAAGAAGCTCTTTAAACACCAGTAATGCTGTGAAGAACCCACTTCATGCCACATCCTTGCTTGATTGTGGCCAACCCACAAGCAACAAACTGCCTGATTTGCCAAGCAAATGCATCTCTACACACCAGACTTATTGTTCCCTCTAACAACGCATGCACCTGCACTGCACTGCCTTTGGGGCCTTCCTCCAAAACCAAGGAGAGCAAAGCCATGTCCACACAACACTTCCCAAGTGCTAGATGGCATGCTCATTCATCGGGGGGGATAAGCCCACCCAAAGCACTCCAAGGAAATAGTCCTACTCCACCCAGGATCAGGCAGCATGCCCCAGGCAGATCAGTGTCTTTGAGGATGCCACTGCCAGGCCTGCTCACTTCTCAAAGTTCCCTTGTTTCCCCGATATGGCCATACAGGTACAATGATCTGCAGGACAACTCTAGAAGGACAGGGCTCTAAAATCTCTTTGCTCTATATCTACCCCATTCCCTCTCTCCCTGAACAATAAAAGGCTGCCTGCATGAAGCGAGCTGGATGTTAAGTCATGTGGGGAGAGGGGTCAGACAGCCATTATAGCTCCCTTGGCTCGGCTAGCTAAGGTGAACTCGGCTTTTTACTTTCCTCCTGTACTGGAGGCTGCTTGTGAATGCTTCAAGCTAACAGAAGCACCTCAGCAGGTTAAGTGCCCTCAGGGTCTACAGGGTCTGTGTACCCCAGGCAGCACAGAGCCCTAACAAAGACCCAGGCCCAGGTGGTGACAATTGCCCCAGGCTTGCAGGTGTGCCCCAGGAAGAGGGTCAGCCAGACATATGTACCCCAGGGAAGACACCTGAAGTGGGGTTATGGTTGGGCACGGTGAGGCAGATGGCACAGCGTAGTAGCGCCCCCTACTGTCCCGCCACACATGCTCTCAGTCTACCTTGGCTGGTCCCAGACTTGGTCTCGTTTCCTTATTTCACGGTCGCTCCCACACCTGGGAGAGAAGGAAAAGGTTGGTTTAACATGATGCCTGCATCTCTGGCCTGGCCTTCAAAACCCAGCCTTGGGTGAGCCAGACTCAGCTGACCCCAGAGAAAAGCCAAGTCTCTTGCTACAACTTATAGAGCTGGGAGCACTCATAATGCCAGGATGTTTACAGAAACCCTCCCTCCAGGGAACTGGCCAGCAGCACCAGCATTACAACCATGGGCCTGGAGTATCTGAGAGTCTCATCCTTAAGGACAGCCACACAAATACCTGCTCTTTGTGTGCAAATAGTTCAGTTGGTCCTCGATCTGCAAGGGAAAACAGACAGGAAAATCCTCAGGGCAACTTCCTCTATGGTTATGAAATATCAACAAAAAAGTAGTGTCTGAAGGTGACAGACAGGTCTTCTGTGTTTTACAGCTGCTCCCAGACTGAATCACCTGTAGGCTGGAGAGCTGCTGACATGGGCACCAATTTCTTCTGCTGCTTTCTTCCTCCCATCTCATCCTCTTTAAAGCAGGGGTAAGATTTAAAGAGGAAATGTTGAGATTTTAAAATAATCCTTTTGATGTGTGTAGCAGGCTCCTCTAACCCCTTCCCCTAACCTCTTCCCCTGCCCGTCACCACCCCAAAGTCCCTGCTGCACACTTGCTCTCTCACACTCCCACCTAGTGGGGTGGTGAAAGGGGTAGGAAGGGGAAGAAAAGCAGCGCAGGGACTGGAGATCTGCTATTATGCCTCCTCCTGCCAGCTACATGAGATCAAAGAGGGCAAGGCCAGCTGCTTGCAGACAGATACCACATCCCTACCAGACACAAGAAAAGTACTGCTTAGTGCCTCACCAGAGGGATGCCCACCTTGTGGTGCTCTGAATGCAGCCCACAGCATTTAATTATGTCAGTATGTTTAATTATGCCATTCAGAACAACAGAGCTTTCTGGTCTGGCCTCCCCTCCAGGCAGGAACAGTGCCAGATCAGAACCCTCTGGACTCTTACCCAAAGGCACTCAGAGATCAGGCCAAGAAGTCCTTTTACCAGTCATGCTATGAAGGACCTGCTTCACAATGGACTCTTGCTTGACTGTGGCCAACCCGCAAGCAATGAACACAAACCTGGTTTGCCAAGTAAAGGCATCTTTACAGGGTAAACTTACCATGCTCTCTAACAACATGTGCAAATGCACTCTGCCAGTTTTGGGGCTTTCTTCTGAAGCCATGAGCAGCAAAGCTGTATCCACACAGCACTTCCCAAGTGTTCACTGGCACCCTCACACTAAGGACAATTATCCCACCCAAAGCACTAAGAGTAGGCAGCCTGGCCAGGGCAGCTCAGCATGCTTGAGGGCATTAATGCAAAGCCTACCCGCTCCCCAAAGTTCCCTTGGTTCCCTGGTATGACTGTACAGGTACAATGACCTGCAGGACAACTCTATGCCTCAAGAGCAGAGGCATATTCCACGTGCAGGTAAAAAGCAAAACTAGGACACACCACAGCAACAGGGCTCATCTCTGTTCCAAAATGGGCCCCCTTCCACTTTCCTCTCCAAGCATCCAACCTTTCCAGTCACAGCCCATTACCTTCTCCCATGCCCTTAGCCTACCTTAGCTGGTCCCAGATTTGGTCTCACATGCTCATCTCATGGTTGCTCCCACTCCCAGGAAAGGAGGAGCAGGTTGGTCCAACACAAGACCTGCACCTCTGGCCTGGCTTTTAACACCCAGCCTCAGGTGAACCAACTCAGCTCACCCAATAAAAAAGCCAGTTTACTTGCTAACAACCAACACCTCCCAGATCTATATGAGGAGCAACTGTTTCCATTCCTGCCTTTTTTTCTAGGTCTGTCTTACTGTACTTCTGGTTGGGGAAATTGGAGACACACTCCAGATAGCTGTGACATTCAGCTGGGAGTGATTCAGTTTAACATCGTAACAACAATCCAAGGCTTGTTTTTCTAACAGCACATTTCCCTGAACCCATGGTCAGCCAAGGCAATGGTTAACAGTGAGTGTTACTGAGCAGTTAACTCTAAGGCACACAGGACACTGACAGAAGTAAAAATCTGTCATATGATGGGCCCCCGAAAGTGCTCTACAGCTGTGCTGTGACACAGGTGCATGGCTGCAGAGCACTTTAAAAGTGGCCGATTGTACATCAAATTAACTCATCTAATGAGGGATCAGATGAAGGTGCTCCAATGTGGAGTGCCTTAGGGAAATTCTGTCAATCCCTGTGCATGATCAGGCCTAGACTGATGCAGCCCAGCCCTGCCCCCAGTGCTATCTGCAGGAAGGGATGGGGGAGAGAGGAAGGGGAGGGAGCTGCAGGTTGGGGTTTGCCCAGCCTGAGCTGAAGTGGGGACAGGTGGATTACAGCCCCCCCTCCAACTCAGGCTGGGCAAACCCCAGCTGGCAGCTCTCTCCCCTCCCTTCTCCCCCCTCTTCCTGGAGACAGCACCAGAACTGGAGGAGGGGGGCAGGGGGCTAGGGGAGAGAGGCTACCAGGAGGCTCCTACCCTGGACTGGCTCCAAAGTGGAGCTTGATTTCCCTTCCGCCCCAAACCAACAGCAAACATCTCTTGGGTCGCGGGGCAAGGCATGCTCTAACTCATGACACTTTCTGTAAAGCACCATAAGTTAGAGTGAGGGACCTGCATGTCTGTCAACGCTGTTAAACGCAGCTCAAGACAAGAGTTGCTTCCAGTTGCAACACTACCCTCTCTAAACAGGTCTACCATCATGAAAGATCCAGACCCCTATTTTAATCTCTTTCTGGTCTGATCAAAGGCATCTCAGCCACGTCAGAAACTACAAGTCTTGCACTTGTCCCTGGCCCCTCAAACCATTTCCAAAGGTCCCCCATCCCGCATTGCCCCCCTTAGAAACTGGGAGCATTGTTACATTAGGACATTAACAGAACCTTTCCCTCGCAGTGGGCGCTTTGGCTCTGCGACCAATCTGGTCCTGGCCCCAGCATTGACCAGTCAAGGATTTTCCTGGTCAAGTTAACGAGCCGCTTGCCCTCTCTCTCACATATGGGTCCACCTTCTCAGGCCCCTCAAACCCAGCTCCTTCAATCCCTAATGCTGGCCTAAGGCAGGCCACCCATATAGCCCCTCCTCTATTCAGCCTTTTCACACACCCTCACTGGGCCTGCTACTCCACCTCCTCACTGGGGCTCTTGGCCTTATGCCCATTGGGTCTCAGGCCTGGACCCCTCGCCTGTCCCCTCTATGGGGTAACCCACCAGGTCATGAGGGCTGAGGCTATATGGCGCCCCATACTCTCCTTTCACTAGGGAGGCATTAGTGTGGCAATTCCTGGGGACCACCCTGCCACAGACAGCCCCACCACACCATCCAACCCCAAAGGGTGTAGTTTTAGGTCATTCCCCAGGACCAGGAACCTCCTCCATCCCCACAGTTCCTACCCTGAACCTCCAGGTGTTCTGGGAACAGTGGCTCCAGCCAGGCACTGTTCTCCCTCTGGCTCCCTGCACCAACTGCCTGCTCAGCCCTGAGGGGCCTGGGTTTATAGTGACGCTGCCCATCCCCATCCTCCAATCCATGCAGAGGGAAGGGGCCATGGCTCAGCCTCCATCTGGCCAGGGGGTGGAGTGTCATGGCTCAGCCCCAACCTACTGTGTAAGGCTTGGAAACTGGCAGCAGGGGAGAAGCGGCAGTATTAACTGTCACACCAGAGGAGAAAGCAGACCTCTTTAACAATTTCTTTGCCTCTATTTTCTTGTGCAGGGACCGGGACTCCCCTACCGAGATTCAGGATGGACTCGGGAGAAACTCCGCCACGCCTAGGGTCAGGGAGGACTGGGCTAGAGAACTTCTGGAGGGGCTGGACGTGTTCAAATCAGCTCTCCACCCCAGGGTGTTGAGGGAATTGGCAGGGGTTATTGCGGGGCCCCTAGCATGGCTTTATGAGCACTTGTGGTGCTCTGGCCAGGTGCCGGACGACTGGAAGAGGGCCAACGCAGTCCCCATCTTTAAAAAAGGGAAGAGGGAGGACCCGGGCAACTACAGGCCCATTAGTCTTACTTCAATCCTGGGGAAGCTCTTTAAGAAGATTATCAAGGAGCACATCTGTGATGGGCCAGCAGCGGGGATGATGCTCAAGGGCAACCAGCATGGTTTTATTAGAGGCAGGTCCTGTCAGACCAACCTGATTGCCTTCTACGATCAGGTCACAAAATCATTGGACGCAGGTGTTATGGTGGACGTAGTCTTTCTGGACTTCAGGAAGGCCTTTGACACTGTCTCCCACCCCATTCTCATTAAAAAGCTAGGTGACTGTGGCAGTGATGCCTACACAGTTAGATGGATAGCAAATTGGCTGAGGGGTCGCACTCAGAGAGTGGTGGTAGACAGGGCATTTTTGACCTGGAGGGAAGTGGGCAGTGAAGTCCCCCAGGGCTTGGTCCTTGGGACCACACTGTTCAATATTTTCATCGGCGACTTGGACGAGGGGGTGAAGAGTGGCCTGTTTAAATTTGCAGACGACACCAAGATCTGGGGTGAGGTGGGCACACTAGAAGGGAAGAACAGATTACAGCAGGACCTGGACAGGTTACAGGGGTGGGCAAATGAAAATAGGATGGGATTCAATAGTGACAAGTACAGGGTGCTGCACTTGGGCAGTAGGAACCAGCAGCATACCTATAGGCTGGGGAACTCCCTTCTCGAAAGCACAGTGGCAGAAAGAGATCTTGGAATCATTACTGACTCCAAGATGAACATGGGCCGACAACGCAAGAACATGGTCAGTAGGGCTAACCGTACCTTGTCCTGCATCCACAGATGCATCACAAGCAGGACCAAGGAGGTGATCCTCCCCCTCTATGTGACACTGGTCAGGCCGCAGCTGGAGTACTGCATCCAGTTCTGGATGCTGCACTTCATGAGGGATGTGGACAGCATTGAGAGGGTCCAAAAGAGGGCCACTGGCATGATCCAGGGACAGCAGGGCAGACCCTATGAGTAGAGGCTACAGGACCGTAACCTGTTCAGCCTTCACAAGAGAAGGCTGAGGGGGGACCTGGTGGCCATCTATAAAATTACTAAGGGGGACCAGCAGGGTTTGGGAGAGTCCTTGTTCCCCCGAGCGCCTCCCGGAGTAACAAGGCATAACAGCCATAAGTTACTAGAGAGTAGGTTTAGACTAGACATTAGAAGACACTACTTCACAGTCAGGGCAGCTAGGATCTGGAACCAAATTCCAAGGGAAGTGGTGATGGCTCCTACCCTGGGGGTCTCTAAGAGGAGGATCAACACTTACCTGGCTGGGGTCATTTGAGCCCAGTTTTCTCTCCTGCCCTCAGCAGGGGGCTGACCTAGAAGATCTACAAGGTCCCTTCTGACCCTACATCTATGAATCTCTCTCTTTAGGTAACCTGAGCTAGATACATTCCTGAGGGAGCAGGTTTCCCTGCTCCCTCTGCCTACGTGACTGGCATCACATACCTGGGTGAGGGGCTTTGGCTCCCTGGGGAGCTGGGAACTGCCAGTCTGCCCAGCAACTAGTGATGCATTTCAAATTGGTTGGCTGACAGCCAACAGGTGCTGGCCTCCACTGGACCAGGTAAATGAGGTCATAAGGGCTATATAAGTTAAGGACTGCCCAGGAGGGAGGGGCAGCAGCCATAAGGAAGACTCAGAGAGAGAGAAGAGCTGAACCATCTGAAACTTGCTCTCTCACTCAAAACATGATCAAGGAACTGCCTGCCTCCAGAGGGAATCTCCACCTACCTCTGGATGATACTTGTGAGAAAGCTACCTGATATTTAACTAGATATATAGCTTGCAGTAACTCAGATGCGTGATCAAAGGCTACCCAGCCATGCCAGTTTGCTCTATGGGATTTCTCTGATATTGCTCTACCCTGTACCCTATACCAACCCTACCCCTTCTAACCAATAAAGTTATCCTCTGTACCTAGCGTGGGAGACTTATTGGGACTGGATCTAGATTATGCCTTGGGGTCCCCTAGGTTTGGCTGACTAAGGGAGACCACTACTTGTGCTTCCAACTGACAGAAACACCCCCAAGTGCTTGAAGTGAGTCAAGTACCCTTGAGGGCTACTAGGCCTGTGTTTCCCAGGGTGCACAGAGCCAGAATAAAGCCCAGCCCTGGGTGGTAGCAGTTTTACCCCAGGCTAGCAGGTGTGCTCCAGGAAGGGGGTCGGCCAGATGTGAGGCACCCCCAGGGAGGCACTCGGAGCCTGGAAGGTGGCCGGGTGCAGTGAGGTGGGTGGCTCCATGCAGGAGCACCCCCCTACTGGCCCACCACACCCAGTCCCTATTCTCCTTTGTTCACTGACATACTCATATCTTTCACAGTAAATGTACATTTTTGGCTTAGCTTGGTAAGTCCAGAATATACCTAGCTGTATACCACATTTCTGCCATCTCCTTTAACTACTCCCTGCTCCTTTTATATCATCCCAGCTGTATCACTAACCAAATTCTTCAGTCACTACTTATTGAGCTTTCTTTCACACACCTTCCTGTACCAGAAGCCCATACATTTATACTGTTACATCTATACAGTCTTTTTTTCCACACTCCTCCTTTAAAATGCACCTCTTCCAAAGGGCCTATACAATCTAGTCCCCCTCTTTGTGTTAATCACCAATCATACTCAAAACATAACAAATCATTTTTAAAAAACCCACAATTGTGGAATGAGCTGGGAAGACTCATTTTGTTTTATGCTATGCCTTCTCTTTTATGTGCTAAAAGCCAAGTCCTGCAAAACCAACACATGTTACTTACTCAGCTATCTATTTTTGCCTGAGTACAATCAAATATCTAAGACAGTGGAGACTTGGGCATAACACTCCAAAATTTTATGGAATGTTATACTTCCAAGACTCAACAAGGTCTTCATATGCCCATTTCTAAAGATGCAGCTTTAAAACACATTCAAGTTCGTCACTAGTTTTTTTTTAAACAGACACATCAGCATCTGAACCTTCCCTCCGAAATGATTGTGTGACAGGGGTCCATCCCTGGGCCTGTCTAACACAGGCCTGACCCTCTGTCATGGCTACCCACCCACCTATCTCGCCTGCCATGCTGTGATGGAACAATAGTTATGGTGTTACTCAGGTGGGAGGCTGCTCATTTACTACCCCAACGCTACGCGGCTGTTATCCACAGCTCCAAACCTCCCCTACACAGTGGCCCATGCCTTGCAGATGGTATATGAATGTTGACCTGCACCCTAGGGCATTGGTTTGCCTCACTCCCTGTCACTGTGCCTCTTGGCACTGGGGTTTGCCCCCTGTATCTGCGCCTCCTGGAGCTATGCCCCCTGGCGCTGAGGTCTGATTACCCCCTGGCACTGTGCCCCCCCGGCGCTTGGGTCTCATCACCCCCTTGTCACTGTGCCCCCTGACGCTGGGGTCTGATCGCTCCCTGTCACTGCGCCCCCTGGCGCTGGGGTCTGATCATCCCCCTGTCCCTGCGCCCCCCTGGCGCTGGGGCTTTGCACAGTAGTGTGCCCCAATGAGGCCTCCTCCTCCCCAAATGGCCTCAGTCCAGTCCACCGGATAAAAAAATAACATAAATATGAGCCCCTGGGCTATAACATAATACAAGTCATACAAGCCACACTCTGGCTCCTTAAAAACCCCAAACTGCTCCTCGCGTATTGAGCACCCCCCAGCTCTGGGTACCTTGTAGACTCCTGGAGCCTCATTAGCCACAGCAACAGTCTGGCCAGCAGCTACAGCGTTCCTGGGTAGCTCTGCCATGCAAGAGCTCTCTTCCTCTGGCCACTTGCCAAAGACCTCCCCCTGCCAGCCTCAGTCCTGGGGTTTATATGTGACCAGAGGCCTACCCCTTCCTGTCAGCTGACTGGCCTGGGTGGTTGGGCTATTAACCCCTACCCTCCTGGTGCTTGGTGTTGCTGTAGACTCAGGTTTTAAAGGGGCAGGCCTGCCTCTTAGTAGCAGGGCCTGGGTTCCCTGTTACAGACTGCAAGTACAAATTGCGCTACTTGCCTCTCCCTGGCTATGATCAAACAAGATCACTTTGGTTTTGATGAGAAAATAAATAAACTTGGTTTTCCAGTCTCCCATCTGTCTCTGAAAGCATGTGCAGAAAACTCCAGTGACATATGTGTTTATTACAAGCTGGACCATGTGGGGAGGGAAGTAGAGGAAGTTGGGAGGAGGAGGGGGGGAGATAGGGAGATGGCAGGGCATCAGACTCCTTTATTAAAGCACTACCCTCTGGGATTAGACAAGTGTGGCAAGGATGCTACCACAAACTGAGACTTACCTTGCGGCCAGGAGCAGAGAGAGGCATGGAGCCAACAGAACATCGGCGAGGGTCAGAGGCACAGCGGGGAAGAGGCCGCACCAAGCCTGGAGGGAGAAAAGCTGAAGCAGCTGTAGCAGACCATGGGAGAGCCTGTGGGAGAACCGGCTCATGCAGCCGCACCAGCGTGGGCACGCTTTATGGTGGTGTGCCAATGCCAGTTCACCAGCCGGCCCTCAGAGGGGGGAATAAAAACCCTGCCGGACAGCATTCGGACAGGACTGAAAGTGGGTCCTCCAGAAGGCCCAGAGCAGCCAGGATCAATCAACAGCCCTGATGAGGGTGAGAGGTGGCAACCCCAGGAGGGGGCATGCCCACACAACTCTGGCTCAGTGGAGCCTGAACTCTTACCTGGGACAGAACTGTGGAGCCTGGATACAGCCGGGGTGGAGAGGAACAGTGGTGAGCCTGGGGAGAGAAGGAGAGGAGAAACAGTCAGACACAGTGAGTCAATACTGGGAGAAAAGGGAGCGCACCTGGGAGTAAGGCATCCAGGTGTAAATAGGAAGCCAAGCCAGGCTGACATGAGGCCTGAAGCAGGACGGTACGCTGTCCAAACTGGACTGTGAATATATAAGGGCTACAGCCCTGACCGTGGCAAGCAGACTTTATCTCAGCCGCGGCCAAGGAGCAACATCTCTGGTTGGCGCCAGGCGCGGTGTAGGAGAGGCAGAGCCCCGATACAGGAGGCTAGGCAAGAGTGCTGAAGGAGGGAACCAGGGGAGGCAGAACTTAAAAACATCCTCCCAACAATAACCAGTACCAACAAGACGTGGCAAGCGAGAATTCCTGGGGACCTTTCGAGGTATCTGCCTGAAAGACAAGCTGTCGACCCGAAAGGAGAAGGCTGCGCCCAAACAGCCAGAAAGAGTGAAGCACGCTAGTGAACATCAAGGGAAGTTATAACAAGGTATTGTCTAAGTTAGTACTTCTAAAAGATACCCAGTGAATTTTCAGGACTGTAAATATACCTGAATTATTAGAATTGTCTTTTTTGAATATGGTCTTTTTGCATGTTTGTTTTGCCATTTGTCTCCTTTAAGCTGATTTCATCAGCTGTCAGCATCAGACCTCTTCTGCCAAAGTTTCTGACTGTTTTTACTGTCACAACCCAAAGGGTGTGATTTTTGTTTGTGTGTGCTTCGGCACTGCTAAATTGTTCCCGCTAAATTATAGCTTCCTTGCACGGTGGAGTTTTCTGCTGCAAAAGAGAACCCCGGTGCAAGGGAGAATTTCCCGCCAATTTGAAGCTTTCTTTGCAGGGTGCATTTCTTTGTTGCAGCACAGAAATGCTCGTTGCAAAGAGTTCCCGCCATTTGTATGCTAATTCGAGTCCCATTATTGGCCAGTTCTAAATTATTCACACGTGGCGGCTGTCGATTGGGTTTCTTGCCGTTAGTAAGGCTTGAGTGGTTTCCGCCCAAGTTGGAGGACTCCACGAACACCGGGAGGAGGAGACTTCACGCTGTGTGAAGATCTCTAAGCGCTGCGGATCCTTAC